GACATTTTGTAATAAAAATGGACACATTACTTTCTTGTTCTGAAAGCATTTTTTATACAAAAGTTCTAAGGGCACGTTAGATTTTGTTGTTTCTTTGCGTTTTTAACTCTGCGTATGTTTTCTGTGCTCCTGTTAATGTTCTACTCACAATATTATTATCACCGGCATAAGCGACCTGTTGCACCGTTCGATTGGTCAGTAGATTTCCTTGTCCAGTTTGCATTTATCTAACCGCATACTCCAGTGCCAGGTTAAACAAAGTTGGGACTAGCCCATTTCCCTGCTTTAGTCCCTGCAAAATTTTGAAAAGTCTCTCCGGTGGTGTTGTATTCATACTCATGCCTGAGTTTCATCCATTGTGGCTTTAATGAGTCTAATTAGCTTGTGTGATATTGCCAATTTAGCCAATATATTTTAGAGTTTATTCCTTTTAGAGAGAGGAATTAATTGCAATTGTAACTAAGCTTGTGGACAGTTGTTTACATCAGGACATCAAAGTAATCTTATTACACAAGAAAGGTGATAGTCGAAAAGTGGAAAAGTACAGACCCATCAGCCTACTGTCACACCTGTCTAAAATACTCACCAAAGTCATAACTACTCGACTAACAAGGAAATTAGACGAATACCAACCACATGAACAGGCAGGTTTTAGAAAAGGCTATTCAACTTCCGATTACCTGTTAACCACAAAAATATTAATAGAAAAATGTAACGAATACAAGTATCCAGTTTTCCTTGCATTTGTAGACTACGAAAAAGCTTTCGATACCATAGAACACAAGGCCGTAATAAACGCAATGCAAAATTGTAGAATAGACAGCAGATATATTAACTTAATAAAAGAAACTATGAACCAAGCTACAGCTACATACTACCTAAATGAAAATGAACACACGAACCCTGTACCATTAAACAGGGGAGTCAAACAGGGAGATACTTTATCACCCAAACTGTTCACCTTAGTTTTGGAGGACGTTTTTAAAAACCTAAATTGAAAAGATAAGGGAATAAACATCAATGGCCACTACCTCAGTAATCTACGATTTGCAGATGACATAATCCTGATAGCTATTGACCTACAAGAAATGCAAACCATGCTTTTAGAACTACATACCGAATCTTCTAAAATAGGACTGAAAATGAAATTAAACAAAACAAAAGTCCTGTACTCCGAAGACGCCGTGACAATAATAAACGATAAAGTTATAGAAAAAGTTGAAGAATATATATACCTAGGACAAAAAATAATACTAAAATTAAATAGGGAAATTCAAACTGAAGAAATAAAAGGAAGAAGAAAGTTAGCTTTGGCAGCATTCGGTAAACTAAAGTATATACTCAGAAATCAACAAATTCAATTACATCTTAGATCTAAAGTTTTTGATGCATGCATTGTTCCGATATTAACTTATGCGGCAAAAACATGGACAATCACAAAAAAGAATATGAATATACTTAGAGTCACTCAACACGCGATGGAAAGAGCAATGCTAGGTATATCACCAAAAGACAAGAAAACAAACACATGGATAAGACAGAAAACCAAAGTCACCGATGTGGTGCAAAAATCATTAAAGTTAAAATGGTAATACGCTAGACATATAGCTAGGAGCGATCTAAACAAATGACACAGATCAATTTTAACCTGGAGACCATACCAACACAAAAGACCCAGAGGCAGACCTCCTATGAGATGGACAGATGATCTGAAAAGGACTGCCGGGAAAAATTAGCTACAAGTAGCGTACAATAAAAAACAATGGAAAGGAAGACTTGAAGAGGCTTATGTTCAGATGTGGACGTGAATGGCTAGACGAAGAAGAAGAATTCCTTTTGATTAAGTCGTATTTTTATTTGAAATCTACAAACACGTTGTAAACATCAATATCATATTCCCATGATTTACTCAAGATCTGTTTGACTCTAAATATTTGACCTAGTGTCGATCTTCCTCCAATAATATTTTATGCTACTGGTTGGAGCCCCTGGTTTATAATACGGGAGTACTTTATATGCTGTACCATAGTATAAAAAAGAAATAGTATGGACACTCGACAGGCGGGAAAAAGTACGCGCATCATTTAGCGCAGGCCATATCGCCATATTGAAAACAGACCGAACGCTAGTGACACCCGACAGGTATTAATGTGACGTGTAGTCGAGTCATCTGTCGTGATTTGTTTGTTTATATCTTTATCGTCAAGTTTTATTTTTCGTTTAATTAAGTCTAAAAAAACTTGGGGATATTAATTTTAAAATTATTTTTATAAAAATTTAATTTAAGTATGTAATTTAATAATTGTTTAACAATATTTAATAATTATTTAATATTTAGTTTTAGTATTTATGTTATGGTTAGGATATTTTATGTTGTTAATTGTTTTGTAAAAAATGGAAACATCCCGTTAATAAATAAATAAATACTAATTATGGTTTTATTCGCAAGAAAATAAAGGTATTGATATTTCCAGTTAGGAAAATGGTAACCATTACAACTGAACATAAAATTCAAATTATTAAATGATATTATTCTGGAAGTAGGGCCAACGATGTAATCGCTACGTTTTCGTTTTCATTCGAAAGCCCTGTACCATCAAAATCTGCAATTAAAACTGCCGTAAGTAGTCTAACTGAAATCAATTTTCCTTGTAACAGCACATTCTAATTTCAAAAGAAACTGGTATTACTGCTAGAACTATATGAAATACTTTAAAAAGAAACAAGTACCATTGCTACTAAAAAAATCTTAAATTCACAACCATTCTACTAGAAACTGTAGTAAATGCAATCTAAAAAGCCAGGTAAAAAACTTATAATAAAAAAGATGTCCCCTGGCTGTCTTTTATGTAATTTAACATATAACAAGAAAAAATGCATACGGTCTTTATAAAAGCGCAAATAGTCAATGTTCTTTGTCTCAAAAACATTTCACGATATTACTCGGTTAAAGTCTTTTGAATGAACATCTGAAAAGAAGAAAAGATATGAAACAGCTCTCTAATAATGATTTAAAAACCACAATCATAAAAATTCTTGAAACAGATCAAGACAAGAGTTCAAGAAACCTAACTGAGGAACTTTCAAATCGACAACCTGCTAAGCAAACAAGACGTCATTTTTGTGCGAAACATCAAAACATGAAATCATGTGATGACTGTAAGAGAGCAAGTTGTAAGGAACGTAGTGTCACCCTTGACTTTTGTCAAGAATGTTTTAGAAATTAAGATATATATATATATATATATATATATATATATATATTATATATATATATATATGTACGTATTCACTCCCTCTTATTTCTTCCGATATCATTTTTACTTGTTAAAGTTTTGTGTAAGTTTACTTTTGTTAAATTATTGTTGTAGAAGTTAACAGTAAGTCTACTTAAATTAGTTTACACACAAAATTGCCTCCCGAAATAATTTGTTGTTTTGGAATATAAGTTTTTCAGTTTCTTATTTGGCTATGGTAGACAAGTTTTGTTTTTATATAAAATAAATAAAACATTTTGATAATAATAATTAAATTAATTAAATTAATATATTGTCGATTGTAATTAATTCAAATTAACTTGTTTACTAACTTTGAAATAATATAAACACGTCTCTGTTCTAACCACTTGTGCCAGTCCGTAACTGATCTAGTCTGTTTTCAATATGGCGTCTGGATTCTTTTATACTTCAAAGGCGCCGACTAAGAGTGTCCCTAACTGTTTGTGGTTAAACTGTGGCTGTACATAGTAAAAAAATTTTATGCGGAAGTTTTTGCAATGGAATTTTTCTCCTTTTTTATAGATCGGGCATACTATACTTTTCTTCTAGTCGTCGAGTATTTACTCTTCTTGTCATATGTCTTTGATGAGTGCGTGAATGTGACTTGCTAGGTGTTCGCCATTCTGCTGGTATTTCGTCAATTCCCGGGGTTAGAGCTTCTAACCCGAGAAGCTCTATGGTTAGAGCTTCTCTCCATACTTCTACGTAGTTTGTACCCAATTCATTTTCCACGTCTACTTGGCTACCAAGTAGGGTTTGAACAGAATGCTTTCAGGTTTCTGTGACTTTCTATTGGTCACTGATTATTTGTCCACTTTTATCTTTACATATACGTGTTTGAGGTTTATACCCACATCTTTATTAGGTATTCGTAAGCCCTCTAATTTCGTTGTTTTTGAAATTTTATTTCTTTTTTTCTATTTGTTCATTTTCATAGGCTCTTTTTTTTATTTCTACATATTTTGTCTGCTTTCCGTCTTGAGACTATAAATGATGTTCGTCTTTCACGTGTTCTCTTTGTTATATAAATTTTTTGTGTGCTTTATTTTTATTCTTCCTTCATTACTAAATAAAACTCAGTGTTATCTATCTTCTTCTTCTTTACGTGCTATCTCCGCAACGGAGGTTGGCAATCATCATGGCTTACAATTGACTAAAATGTTACACTAAAGGATTGTATCGCTGTGGCTAGTTTTATTGAAATTTTAATAAATTTTATACAAATCATTGACTAGGTTACTTGCATTGAATGGTTAATAATAGAATTATAAGAAAATTTGATGAATAGAAACCCGTCTAAAATAAACTACTAGAACGACCTTGAAATCATTCGTTAGAGGACATTTAAAATTGTTTAAATTATGGTTGTTTCATATTGAAGTAAAATCATAGGCCATAGAAAGGAATAGAGTCTAATTGTTGAACAATACAAAGCTCACAAAGAATTGAAGAGTTTGAGAATAATTTAGAGAATAATTTATGCAATCTTGCGAAAAAAGCTTAAAAATTACTGTTTAAAATATTTATTAAGGACTTTTATTATTAGGTTTATTAATATAAATTTTGAGATAAAGGAGAAACCAAAACAAAGTCAATTGAAAATGACAAATATTCAATGTTGCTAATACCTTGATCGCTATTATTTTTATAATAAATCAAAATTTCTGTCTACAGATTTTCATTGGGCAATAGAAATAAATATATATTTAATAACATACTAACCTAGACAACATGTTGTTTGTGGAGTCGTTAAATAACCCCAGTTCATATCTGTCTGTTGTAAAGCGGCGCTAAATATTGGAACTTCGCTAAAGGCGTCTGTTCCTCCGCCAGCTTCCAACAGCAAAACTTTCCATGACGGTACTTCTGAGAGTCTATTTGCTAAGACGGAACCGGCAGCTCCAGCTCCAACAATTATGAAGTCATAATAACCGAAATCTAAAATATAAAGATAATGCTGCGTTATCTATTACTAACCTACTAACTTAAGTTTTATTTAAAAATCCTTTATAAAAGTTATATAAAAGAAAATACCCTTTTGAGCTACATCACACAACGTTTTCGGATAAAAAAATCCATCTGCCGTGTAATATTCTTCTTCTTTAAGTGCCGTCTCCCAATCGGAGGTTGGATACCATCATCACTATCTTTACTCAATCTACTGCTGATCTGAAAAGTTATATAGAAATGCATTTAAACCAGTCCTTTAAATTGTTCAACCATGACACTCTCCTTCTCCCTACACTCATTCCTTTTCTTATCTTTCCTTGTATTATCAACCTGAACAGTTCATATCGCTGTCTCCTCATTACGTGTAGCAGATATTGTAACTTGCTTATTTTTATTATGATTATTATTTCGCATTATTTGCCCATTTCTCAGAATACTTCCATGTTAGTTTTCTTCTGTGTCCATGCTATTCTAAGCATCCTCCTGTAACAGCACATTTCAAAGGACTGGAACTTCTAGCTTTCAAGTCCATATTGCAGTATCGAAAACACATAGCATCTCAGTGCTCTAACTCTTAGTTCTAATCTAAGGTCTTTGTTGTAGAAAATTGTTTTTATTTTTACAAACGCATTTCTTGCTATTTCTATCCTGGCTCTTATTTCGGTTGTTTGATCATTATTATCTGAAATCCAGGTTTCTAGGTATTTATATTTATCAACCCTTTCTATTGGTATATTTCCCAAATGTAGGTTTGTTGGTATATTTGTTTTGATTATTATTATCATATATTTGCTATTTTTTATATTCATTTTTAGTCCATATTTTTCCCAAAAAGTGTTTGTTTTGTTTAGCAGTAATTGGAGTTGTTCAGCAGAGCTTGCCATAATCACGGTGTCATCTGCATATCTTATGTTGTTACTAGATCTTCCCCTAATTATTATTCCTTCACTTTGAGCAGTGACAATATGTATAGAATGAGTATTTATCCTTCAAAATACACTGATTAATTTTCTACAAAATACACTTTGAGTCATATCAGTTTTTTAGGAACCAGCTGTACCTGCAAAGTAAACTGTTTAATGTGCGAATTTATTGAGTATGGAAAACTAATCAAGTGACAATTATAATTCAATGAGGAGCATGGCAATATATGGTAGTTTGAAATGTTGTTGGAGTGTTTTTTTAATAATAAATAAATTGTTATATTAAATGTTTATTGAATTTTGATTATTGAAATTTCTTATATTGGAAACAAAGGTTAATTAAAGTTTAAGGTATTAAAGTAGGGGAAGTGTGCCTATGTTGGACCCCTGACTATGATGGACCCCTGCTGTAATTTCAAATATGGCGCGGTTACATCCACATCGCCGATTATCGCTTGCGAACGAAGTTTACAGTTTAGTATTTGCAAAGTTTCAGCCTCGTTGCGGTTATAACAGTAGATTTGTAAAATAAAATTAAAATTTGGCGTTGTTGATCTAATAAAATTTTTTGGTAAGTAATATTTTACTGGTAACATACGTTAAGCTAAGTTTCTTTGTTAAATACTCTACTTTGTTTTAGGTTAGAATGGTCAAAACAAAAATAACAGAATTAAATTTAATTTCTTGTCTATTTGCCTATGATGGACCCCTCTGTCGTTAACTATGACGGACTATGGGTCCATCATAGGGAAAACGAAATAAATTGCTACTTAAAGATTAACATAATACATTTAACAGGGATGGATCCTCATAAAAGGCAATAGTGGAATGAGCGTAATATGTAGCAAGCTTTAAAAAGCATACAAAAAAAACCATGGGGTTTAAGCTGGCAGCAAACACATTTAATGTTCCAAAAACGATTTTAATAAGCAACAAGGAAGTAGCTGACAGAAACAATATTAGCCACAGTTTTAATAAGAAAACCAAGATGGCAGACGAAATGGTTCAGAGGCTTTTTGAAGCGAATAAATTAAAGCGTCCTCGAATATCATTACGAACTCCAGCAAATACTTCGTTGGCAAGGGCTCAAGCTTTTAATTAACCAAATATATGTGCCTCTTTTACAGCATAAGCACATATATTAGGTAAGTTTTAATTTCCACCGGAAAACATTTATAACATGGACGAGTCAGGTTAGACAACTGTTCAAAAGTGATCGCAGAATATTATGCTAGTAAAGGTCGCAAACAAGTTGGTGCTTTAAGTAGTGCAGAGCGCGGTCTACATGTTACGGTCGTATGTGCAATAGATGCAATTGGAACTATGTTCCTTCTGCTTTCATTTTTCCTCGACAGAGAAAGAAAAAGAACTTATGATCGATACACCTACTGAAAGTGTAGCCTTCGCTCAAGAAAAAGGATAGATGACTTCCTACATTTTCTGTCTCTAACTGCAACATTTTTTAAGGTATTCAAAGGTTTTTAAAACCAACCAAGTTTTATTGTTACTCGATGGTCATGGTAGTCATAAAAGTTTTAAAGCTCTCCAGTTTGCAACAGAAAACGGTATTATTATGTTTTGTTTTCCTGCTCACTGCTCTCATCATGTTCAACCCCTTGGACGTAAGATTTTTTAGACCACTTCAAACTTACTACGGCCAAGAAATTTAATTATGGTTGCGACAGAATCCAGGTAAAACAGTTATCCAATTTAAAGTAGCCAGTATCTTTAATAAAGCACATTTTAAAACTGCTCTTCTATCAAATGCAATGAATGCATTTTAAAAGACAAGAATAGGAGAGTTCAATCCAGATGTCTTCGAGTATTGGCAATTTTTGCCGTCTATAAAAACAGTAGAGAAACTTATGAACAAAAACCACCACCAGGATGTTCTGACGAGAACTCATTACCGGAACATTGGAACCAAAATGTTTCTTTGATTAAAAGTTTATCAAAAATCACTGATCAGGAATCAACATCACCATCAGTCCTAAACATCTCGGTCGAAGATATTTGGCCTCCTTCCTAAGCTGTATTATCTAAAGTAACTCAAGAAAGGGATAGAAAATGGTGTAAAAGAGGATATTTAAATTCAACGCCAGAAATTGATGATATAAAACAAAAAGTTGCAGAAAAAGAAGCAAAAAAAGAAAGAAAACAAGACCCAAGAAAGTGAAAAGGCAAGTTCGTGTTTCAACTACAAACAGTTCTGATCACGATTGTGAATCTTATTTTGAAGAAGACGACTCGGTCGATGCAGCTTGCATTTACTGTAGCGAACTATTTTTGCATTAAAATGCATTCGTTGTCAAGTGTGTAAGAATTGGTGTCACAATAAATGTGTAGATGTAAATCCTGGACGTAAACAATTTGTGTGTGAATTGTGCATGTAACTTTTTTCTTAAAAATATCTGTTTGTAGGCGGCTTAGACTAGGCTGCGGCTTAGACCTATGGTGGAGCAGTACGGCAAGAGATAAGGGCTTGCGGCTCGGTGATACTCCTCCATAGATCTCTACCGGACGGGCGTAACGCCTAAAAAAACCGGATATATATATAGTATAATGGTAAGGTTAATTGGGTTAGCAGCTGAATAATGAAAGCCAAAGTGTGCTCTTTTCAACGACTTCGCTATATTTCGTTAAATTTCTTTAACATCTTTAGACGAATGCTACAATATGTTACAAAATGGTGAAATTGTGTATTTTACATAAGATGTAGTGAAACACTTACTTGTGTGAGGTTGCAGGCAAAAGTGGTATTTGAAAGTTCCATGTTGAAAAACTTTTTTGAAGATTTTTTTTTATAGCAAAAAAATAAGTTGTATGTGTTATATGGTGGCTTGAAAACTCAAACAATACAAGTGCATTTTTGTTATGTTCCTCCAGTGTGATAGTACAATACAAATATTAAAAACATTGAACATTTAAGAAACAAAACAGTTAAAACACAACTACATATCACATTGTCATTTTTTGGACCAGTCTATTCACCTATGCACAAGAGGTGGAAAACTAGTGTGTACCTCAAGGTTAAAGTGTCTTGTCAGGTCAGCTATCATATTAGTAGATGTCAGCCAGAAACTAAATATGTGTTCAGTTCATGTGTAAAGTTACATTTAATTGAAAATTATGTTATGTTAATTTAAGACAATTAAATTCTGTTGTTAATAAATATATATAGAATTTATTTATTTCTTTGTGATTATTTCTTTTAAAGTTATTTTAATTATTGTTATTCTTCTTAAGAATTTTATTTCCTGGAAAAATGCAACAATTGCAATAATAATGATTAAGTTACTACTTCAATTGGATACATATATATATATATATATATATATATATATATATATATATATATGTTTTTATATATATATATATATATATATATATATATATATATATATATATATATATATATATATGTTTGTAATATTATTTATCGTTTAGAATATCTTTTGGTTTAATAAAATAATTTGGTATTTACTTATTGTATACAAAATGTAACGGGTCCATCATAAGCGCATCAAAGGTTCCATCATGAGCTCATATATGCCCATGATGGACCCTTGACAGGATTTTAGTAAACTATTACTAACTTTTGTCATTTTAATTTTGATCAAAATTTGAAACATTTGCATATTATACAAATAACAAGACGTTATGTGGTCATAGTTAAAGCCTGCTAAGAAAATAATTAACATTATTATGGAGCTTTTTCTTTAGGGGGTCCATCATCGGCACATTTCCCCCGCGTATATAACACTATTTAGTTGTGTTATTATAAAAGCTGGTTAATAATTGTAAATGTAGGTGGTATTACGGCTCTTTATGTTAAAGATAACAGTTCGTGCCTGAAAAGAATTTTTTTATTGATGGCGTGTACAGTTGTTTAGTAGTTAAATGTTAAGGAAATAATTGTTAACTGATTTATGTAAGGTTAATTACATTATGAAAAAACTAACAAAATTTATGTTTGAAAAGGGAATATAATGAAGCTAAAGAACAATAAAAACTGAAAAACGAAAAGAAAACTGAGATCTTCAGAACTCTAACCACAGACCACCGAAGAATGTGTGAGAAAGTCTAATTAAAACTGTTAAAAAGTCAGAGTATGTTTAAAAATGTATACAAAAGTATCTGGTGGATTACAGTTGTAAGAATAGATTGATAATATAATTTGTGGTTAATAATAAGGCCCGTTATATTAAAAGACAACCTTGGGAACACGGAAAAATATTTTTATTGGTTGCAAAATTAAAATAGATGGAAAAGAGGGAATGGGAGAAGATACTTAAGATATTGGTACAAACAGAGATGGATAATAAACTATTGATAAAAGAAGAGTGTATCACCGAAAAAACAGATAGGAAGATAAAACAGAAAATGACGTTAAAGAGAATAGTGGTTTTAACTGCGAGTACAAAAACGGGGACTGTGAAGAATACAGAGAAATTGTCAAACCATATAACTAAACAATATACATTATCAAAATAAATTTTAAAAATTTCGTACAATGTAAAAATTTATCTTTTTTCCTATAGTGGCTAGAACGTAATGAAAAATAAATAAACTGCTTACCGTACACAGTAGAATTGTTGGTTCGAAATAATTTTTCATTATTTGTTGGCACTTTGTACGCTTGTATCTCTGCTATCTTTGCGGTCACATATTCGTAGAACTGGTCGAGATTTTCCGGCACAACGTACGGGATCAACAAACATAACAACACTACTTTCACAAGATACTGCATTATTAAAATGGGTTAAACCATGTGCAACATTTAAATTTATACTGAAAATTCCAAACTAAAATATAAATATTTAATAGTTTCGGCGAAGTTATTGTTTCATTCTACCTTTTTTTTGTAATTTCCTATATATCATCTCAAGGTTAATACTTTTAATACTTCCAGTGGAAAACCAATTTCTAAATAAAGATAAAAGTAGTGCAAATATTGTAGGTCAACTGGTTTCAAGAGATATGAATAATAAACATATTAGTAATTAAATTGGATTTTTAGATCGGAAAATCTGATATACAGAGACAAAACAAAAATGAATTTGTTTCGTGCACGTTACACTAGAAGATACTTTTTAAAAAAGTGCTTGTAAAGGAGCAACTAACAAAGCAACAGCACTTTTACCAACTGATTTACAACTCGACTGGTCCAACGAAGACTGTAGTAACTCATTTTTTATGTAATTGAGATAATTATAAAAATGTATTTACACTGTTACCAAAATTCATTAATCTATTAAATGGATGTTTTTATAGCATTAAGTGATACTTTTAATAATGATCTTACAAGGGTAAAACAGATTTAAGACAGAAAAGGTCATAAGTGACTTTTGAATGAGTTACTATAGTTTTCGATGGAGATATTTTTAAAGTAATAAATACGAAAATTGTTTGTTTCTTAACTTTATTTATATAAAATGCTACATTTTGAAGAAGCTACTGATATAATTTGCAGTTTTATATTTTAATTCAATTTTCCTCATCCGACTCTTCTTCACTCTCAACTGAATCAACTTCGAGCTCGACTTTAGGAGGTACATAACTCTTTGAATTAAGATTTTTATAAAATCCATGGTACATTGTGGGTATTTTGCCGGTATTACACAGCCACAGTAATCCTTTTAGCTTTTTTTCTCCAATTGGTAATGGTGCATCATACAGTTTCGGTGGAAATTTGATAGTAGTGGAAGGCCGTTCTCTGCATTTTCGATTTAATATTATGTCACAACCTCTAAAACCATCATCGAATTTATATTTAAACATTATACAATTTTGGTGTTCATGCGAAAATTTTATTTCTCGTATTTTGCTAACTTGCACTGATTTCTTTTCGTTGTCAAGTTTCCAATTCTCGGTATCAGTCAGTTTTTTAAAATTAAAAAAATTATCTTGGGACATTTTCGTAACATCATAAACTCTTCCTGTAGTTTTAGCCATTCTAATTAATGTAACCCACTGTTCTGGCACATATACAACCGATTGCCTTTTCTTTGCATTTTCGATAACAGCATGCATACTGTCACCCTCGTTCTGAGTGTGGCCTTTTTCCAGAAATCTGTGAACAATATCAATATGAAAATGAGCAGCAGCAAAAGCAAACATCGAAAACACAAAACGATTCCTATTTTGTCCCCCACAGTTGTATGAGTAGAATATTATCGTTTTAACACTTTGTTGTACCTTGAGATCTAAAAATTTCCAGAGGCAACTGGCAATTTCATTATTACCTCTTTTAGCCACCTGCTCGTGCCATACATAGAAGTAACCCTGATTATTTCCAACATCGTAAACTGTAAAGTTATATGTAGAGTATTTGCTTTTATAGTAAAAATCACTAACGTTAGACAAAGGGGTAGCTAAAACCTTTTGAAGGTCAAAGCAAGCCACACACAAGCTCTTATCATCTAGTGCAAGCTGTTTGTCTATGTCTTTTAAGTTTCTGATAAGTTCTTTGTTTTTCATATGGGACTCATATTGTTCGAGCAATTTTGCTTTTTCAGCATCACTAGCCATATTAAAAACAGAACAAAAAGTACACTGGTCCTTTTTTGGTTTAAAGAACCCATAATAAAATCCCACTTTCTCGTATGATCTTTAAACTTCCAAAATTCATTCAAAAAAAGGTCTCTATCTTCTTTAGCTATTTTGGTAGCACATTTTAGTCTACATGTGTTTGCGCATTGTGCACCCATCTGTCTTCCTTTAATTTGATTTTCATGTTCAAGTCCCAGGTTTAGACTTGTTTTAGATTTTTCATCCGCCCACTTACTAACGTCTCTAATTCTTTTTCTACTTACTCTCTCTATATTGCCTCTGCTTCTTCTCTTTCTATTTGTGGTTGCTTCAGTTATATTCTTATTAAATTCAATTATTACTTCAGGGATGTTTTTGTCTTCTGTCGGAATGTAATCTGGGTCAGTATCAGAGTCTGCATGAAATGGTTCCTCATCGCTTTCCTTCTCAATTATTTCATTTTCATTCCTATTGGCTTCATTCTCTTCTAAGCTTACTAAAATTAAACAAAAATGAGGTAAATGCCTATGTAATATTTTTTCATGCGGAATTTAAACCAACCTGTAGAACTTTCAGGATTAATATCAGTCTCGTGGTCACCAGGATTCTCATTCGCCTTTTTGTATTTGCTTTCTTCTACAATACTTTCAGCAATATGTTTACCTTAAAAAATAAGTAGGTTTTTACTTATTTTAAATAAAGTTTATTATACATTTACCTTCTAAAGAACGATAAGAAATATCCGTTTCAGTGGTTTTATACGCTTTCTCAGCTAATTCCAATATTAACTCACTTCTGGAACACATTATGGCAATTAGATATAACAAAACTAAACTTTTGAACATAACCTTAAACTAACGCAGAATACCGTAGTACCTCATGTTACGATACCTATGCTATCGCCTCAGATAACAACGAAGACTATTGTAACTCAAGATACGATGATTTTCTACGGTTATTTTTCATAAATCGGAGATACTATAAAACTCTTACACGTAATATTGGTTGCATAACTACGTTTACTGAGATACGATTCTTTCCTGGGGAAGATAGGTATCATTATGTTTTATTGTTTTGCGCTCGTAACTCAAAAAGTGGAAAATTTGAGTTACTACAGTCTTCGTTGGACCAGTCGAACTGACTTTCAAGGGGAAGTTTACCTATATTTGTATAAAATTAACTGATGACAACCGGTCTGTAATTTTTGTTGAAACTGATGATCTGCTGGATTATTTTACTGCAATTTAGCTAGAAAATCTGCGAGGTTATTGTTCTGTAGTTTTTTATAGCTTAAGTTTTTGTTACACTTTTTGCAGAACTTCAGCCAGGAAATACTTTTGAGTATTTCACCCAGGGAACGATTTATTTTTATTTTTCTCTATTTTGTCAAAATCTTTCTTAGCTGCGTTTAATATAGGATACATCAGTTTCTCTGGTATATATGTTTGTTTCTTTCTGTTATCTCTTTTAAGAATAGGTACATTGTTAAGTTTTCCTGCAGTCTTTTAACTTATTTATTTCTATCATATCTACAGTAGACTCTCGATTATCCGAGTCTTGGTTATCCGAGCCCCTTGGTTAACCGAGGCAAAATTTTGCCTTTGTTTTACTTTTATAGCCGTACTTGTTGAATCACAATATCGATTAATCCAAAAAGGGTCGATGGTTACAAGTTATATCGGCAGCTCTTATATGGGCAATCCATTGAAAATTGTGGATTATTGATAAAAAGAGAATTGTGTGTAAGGTAGGCTTTAGGTCAAGCTGATGTCGAGTTGGTCACCGCCTTATTTCCAGAAATTTCTGTGGCGTGTTTTGTCTACAACTTCCTGTTACTTTTTATGTTAATCAGTGTGAATTGAACTACCGATTTGTCTGGTCGTTCAATTCGACAATTGAATATTTGCGGCAAAAAATTTCTGCCGACTCAACTGAAATTGGAACATTTTATTTAAAATTACAAGACATTATCCTTAAAGATGGACTAATTTTAGACCAAATATTTAACTGTGATGAGACAGGCCTTAACTTTAAAATGCTTCCATCAAAAACACTAGCTGCTAAAAATGAAGGAACTGCACCAGGTTACAAAAAAAAGCAAAGTGAGAGTCACATTCATGATTTGCAACAATGCTTCTGGTTCATTAAAATTAAAACCTCTTTTAATTGGAAAATTCAGAAATTCAAGAGCATTCAAAAATGTCCAAATAAATTGCTTACCTACAATAGCAACCAAAGCAATGAATAGATGGACTGTAACACTTTTAAGAACTGGTTTTTTAGCGACTTCGTACCAGTCATTTATGCCTACCTAATAAACAAAAATCTGCCCCGGAAAGCTTTGTTGTTGTTGGACAACGCACGATCCCACTCAGATGCGAGTGAATTGATTAGTGATGACATACTAGCTGTGTTCCTTCCACCCAATATGACGTCTCTCATCCAACCCTTAGACCAAGGCGTTATAGAAACAATGAAGAGGAATTATCAGAGGAAGCTTCTTCATATACTGTTAACTAAGCTAGATGAAGGGCTGACTGTAATTGAGACATTGAAGAAGATCACGGTTGAAGATGTTTGCTATTGGAACGCATCTGCTTGGGACGACGTAAAAGTGTCCACTATTCAGAAGTCATGGAAAAAATTATTTAAGATAAACAACAAAACACAAGACGTTCAAAATGAAACTGATGACTGTGAAGTTGATTCTATAGCCAAACTAGACAATCAATTACCAGTAGAACAGCTAACCGTAAACCAAGACATCATCGATTGGATGAATCTAGATGAAGAAATGGAACTGACAGATGATGCAATTGCCAATCTAGTTCTAAACGTCACTCATAAAGAAGATACAGATGAGATAACTCAAAAGATTTCTGATTCCGATGAATTGAAGTCCCTTGAAAGCTCTCGCATACTTCGAGCAACAAGAAGAATTGACACCATTAGACGTTAGTCAGGGTCCCAATTACCTCGGATAATTGCGAGGCTACTGTATTATGTTGTTAATTTCTATTTATGATGATATTAGTGCTCTTATCACTAACAGACCAATAAACTAACCATTTTTCCCTGATACTCGTTGATACAGGTATCTTACTGCTGCTTTTGATACATTTGGAGTGAATTATATGGAAAACTGACACAATTTCACTAAAAAAGCATAGAAAATCATTTAAAAGGAGGGCCTGTAAAGTTATTTTTGTTAATTTGTTACTTAGTTATTTCAAAAATAGCTTTATTAGTCGATTTTGTAAAAATTATTAACTATATTGAAGTGTGAACTTCTGTGTGTAAAACTCTCTTATA